GAGATTATCAAAAAGCTACTTTTTCTTCGCATAAACCAATGCTAAGCCCAATAAAATTAGTAGGCCAGTAAGGTGCACTTATTCTGATACAATCGTAATGTTTAATGAAGGCGGAAACAAACATGAAAATAACTCACCTAATTCCGACTCGGTGCAGTATAAATGATTCCGTGAATCGAAGGATATCGGTACAATTCGGGTTTGCTGGATCAATGACGAGGACAACATTAAAAAGATTTTTGGCTACCTGAAAAAAAGATAATTCAAAACTAGATGAAGCCTGGAAAAGAAAATAAGCAATTTTTACTTAAATGCTCGAGACTTACGCTATTCTTTTGCAAAGCATGATCAGGTAACTTAATCAATGAATTCAAGATAGTAAATCATTCTAAATAGTTGGTAACGTAAGAGTAACTAAAGGTCTCTTAGACCTCCTAATCTGTGATCGAATATAACACGATGTAAGCCCTTATTCTTTGTTACAGTTAATTCCCAAAGTAATCAATTTATTAATTAAAATATAACAAAAAATGTCGGGCAATATGCTTAGATAGATCTAAGCTGTAGAGAGCATCTAATAAAGTCAGGTTAAGGAGGAACCAAATTTATACCAATTGTAAAGATAGACCAAATTGGACTATTTATTAAATAGCAAAGTAGACGATAGAAGGATTAAGTGGCTTACTTAGAGCTTCTTATCTAATCAGAAAAAAACGTCATGGGCCAGTGATGAATTTATTTAAAAAATACTTTTTATAAGCGCATTTTTGGTTTCAAATACAATCCTCAGTCTTCATTAAGAAGAGGAAGAGGATATTAGGATCGCTAAATGGTCTTGTAATGTCCTTCAAATAGGGAAGGTATCACAATCCTCAACTAGCTGCTTTAATACTCCATTCTATGTGGAGTCCAAAAATCGTCATCATAGATAATGATGATTAGTCTATTTATATCATTGATTATTCTAATTAAAATATTTTTTTCTAATACATCTTAGGAGAGGCAAGCATGAAAGATTTCAAGACAAGCCAAATGAACTCACCTGCTTTAGACCACTACTCCCTGAGATAAAATCCATAGTAAAAAGACCGCGAACTGACTTTTTCCAGCCTGCATAGGCTGGATCTGACTCTAAGTTGTTGAGGTATATTAATGGAGCGCCCCTTAGATCAAGCATAAAGCGACCAGTCAGGCTGAGCCGGACATGCTGGCCCAGATTGATTGGTGGTTGAGTAACTGTGAGAGATGTAGGTCTGCTGCCGAATAATGATTGAGCTGTAGCCCCATCGGATTCTATTCCTGTAGATGAAAACTCTGAGCCAACTTGATCCAAAGGTAGGGAGAGGAGGCTGTAAAGTGCAGGGCCCTGTACAAGAATAAAGCAATAATGAAAGTAAATTTAAATTAATAAGAATAAAAGCATAGGAAGCAAAGATAAAGAAAATTTGCTAACAAACCCTCTATGAGGCGTAAAAAAATACGCTTGAATGTTTGAAGGATGCATAGCTGGTTCTATAAATATGTTTAAGAAATTAGTTGCTAGGACCAACTAGTCCTTTTAAATGATAATATGCTATAGTCGTGATTTTAAAAAATGCATCGTATGCGGACGAAATAGTTAATTTAGATCAATGAAATCAGCCAAAATACGGATATGGTGGCAGTGACCGAATGAGCTATATCCATAAGTCTTCTAGGAGTCCAGAAACTTATTTGGAATGAAAGACTGGCAATAATTTTGTAGATCGTGAGATTAAACAGTGAGAATTACTTAATGAGGTGAATCTGCTAGAGTACTAGAGAACTAGACCAGGACTCAAAAGCTCCCTTGGAATGTGCTAAACAAATCTCACTTCCCCTGGCATATACTTATCGCTTCTTCTGCTGAATTTCCGAATTTAAAATGGATAAGTTGGCTCTCAAAGACTGTATTTCAAGGTATGAAGACCATTAACGTGTTGCCTTTGGTTTGGCCACAATGTCATTTAGCTTTATAGTGTTGGTCTGACCTCGTTTGATGCGCCTACTCAACGAGCCCGGAAGCAACCTCGAAGGCGCGCCTGTATCTTGGTGAAAATCAAACTTTAGTTTAATTTTGAAGGTAGTCTTTTCGGAATCGCCTTATTGTAGTTACATAGCGTAAATGGCCCTAAATTTATGGCAGCATAGGTGTATATTATGCCCGAGGCCTAATTTAATAAAGAATTATTTTATAAGCCATCGGGAAAAATTTACGTAAGTCTCATTATCTGTTTTGACATCTTTCTAGCGCTTTCTAAGTTTATGCCTTGGCCACTTGCCCATTGCCTGAGGCACAGCTCCATAAATCAGGGTTGCAATGAGTGCTGTGAATGAAGGGATATCAAGCTACATATCGCGATAATGCGCCCAAACTGAATTAACTAGAGACTGTTGCAGATCAAAATAGCAGCAAAACTGGACATTTTACCACATAAAGCATAATGCTGAGCTTAACAGATAAGAAGCCAATCATGTAGGATAGGCGAGAAAATCGGATGTACACCAAGCATTCTTAATTGATATGCCAGATATAAGCATTTACCAAAGAATTCAGTTCCAATGAAAGAAAAATTGTCGGACCTGAGGAAAAGATAGCGTCATGAATGAATGAAACAAATTAACTCACTCTAATTCCAAGCCGATGTAGCCTCGTTAATATCCAAGACTCTCGCCAAATAATATCTAATAGAGAAGAAATGTCCACTTTTGGCGAAACAATGAGCCCGTTGATGGATAGCAGATTAGTGCCTGGAAGAATTTTATAATTTTCTTGCAGAGATAGGTGGAGACTTTTCACCTCATCACGAAGCTCTTGAGAGACAGCAATATCCACCAACTTACTAAAAATAAAAATGAAAAAAACAAAATCAAATCAACGATAAAATTTAAATTAAGAACTGCATTTTAAAATTCAACTTAGATGGTATATTACCCATATCAAAATAATTCACTTAAGTTATATTCATTAAGAGTAGGTTTCGAGACTGTTAGTAAATCTTAAATAAGGGATTCATTTACCCTACATCGCATAAGGTGATATATGACTAATAGTTGAATTTTTCCTAAAACTATATAAGCACGTCTCACGCTTCCATATGATGTTATTTACCTGTGCTATACAAAAGATATCCTCATCCAGGATAGACTGCAGTTTCGTTCCATCATCACCCTCAGCTGAGCTCTAACCAGGCAGGTGTAGCATATAGTCTTAACGCGTTGCCACTACGC